GAATGTGCCAGCCCCAATGTCCTAGGTGGTTTTCTCCCTTAAGCTGGCCATACACTTTTAATGATTTGTTTCAACGTTCGTTCGAAATCATTCACCAGAACTATCGATCCCACCATCTTTGAGTCAACTAATCTCATTTGTAAGCCCTTAAATTTCATCCCGACCTGCTTCTTGAATGGAATCCTAGACATATTAAACAGGTTTCTTTTGTGCCTATACCATTACCTATGCCCATTACAATATGTATGATTTGTTCCACATGAAAGTCACATTCATAGTTTGAATATTGATAAGAAATGAGAAAAAAATGTCCATCCTGCTCCTTTGTTTTGATTTTCTTCGTCACTAGACCATCAATAACCGTGAGAACATTGAACGAATGTTCAGAAAAAGTAGAATTTCCAAGAAGACATTCTGCTTGTCCACTTTGGGCCAAAATCAGTTTATTCTGATGATGAGTTAATTATGGGATGCTGTAATACTAGCAGAGTGCAGTCACAGATAAGACCCAACACAATGGGCATGTATGCCACAGTGCAGACCAGTCATATAATCTGTATGAGAGTTCATGCAATGGCTTACAAGTTTCCTATAAAAGTGGGTGGGGAGGTCTGTCCATACTGATTCTGATCACCACCATCCCTCTACCTTCAGATGAGGTTTTTATACACTTATCTTTTTTGGCACACAAACCTTTTTAACAATAAGCACTTTTGTAGCTCACAAGTGCTCATTATTCTACATTAGCACTACGTTTGTGCCGTTGTCAAAATGCCACTATAGGTGGGGATACTTGCAAGCGTGTGTAGAAAAAGTGTAAAACTGATGTAGTGAGGTGAGCTGAGCTTTCTCTCACACAGGGCTGAACGAGAAAAGACGCTTACTGTTTAGCGTAGATGTGGGAATCTCCCCTGCTGTCAGCCAGCGCCCACAGCTGTCAGAATGCCCAAAGCAGACTGTAGCTGACTGTCAGCAGTCACTGTTTGGCCCACAATTTTTGTCCCAGTTGATTGACAAATTGTTTTTTTTTCTTCTGAGTAGTGCCAACTGGGCCCCCCACAGCTTGAGTTTCGGGGCTCGGCAGATATCTGAGCAGCATTAGTGTGAAGCAGGGCAGCTGTAGAGCATGTAACAGGTGTGTCAGCGAATGGATGAAGATTTAAAGGAGAAGTTCAGAGGGTGTAATACATACCCTCCCCACAGCTTAGAGCCGGCATGGGACACTGCAGCTGTCACACGCTGGCTTTAATAGCGAGAGTTGACCGATCACATGACCTCTGATCGTTCAACTCTTGGTGTATTCTCCCTGCACAGAGCAGTAACTGTCTATCAGTGCTCCCTGCAAGAATTCCCCCACCCCTTCCTGTTTCTCTGGCTCTTATTGGCGGGAAAGACAAGGGAGGCATGGCTGACGCTGGTTCTAAAGAGGCAGAGCCAGCTGTCACTTAGACAGCCGGGGTGGATAAGGGACAAAATTGCCATCATGGTTCTGCACTGTCAGCATATAGCAGGCAGTGGACTGCTATCTACTGGCTTTGGGTCACAGGAGTACATTGGTAAATATAGTTCTGTAACTCAAAAGTAATGAAAAAAAAAGTTTGGCTTTAGTTCTCCTTTAATTACTGCAGTAAACGTTCACACAGACTGTATGTAAGGTTAATGTACAAGTCAATAATGCTGTGTTGACTACGCAGGTATATCTGTGATGGCAGTGACACATACAACTTTATTGAGTGAAAGTTTCAGAAGAGAACAGTTTGTTGATTAAACCAGATAATGAACATTTGGGCTCTAAAGGAAAAACGTATAATACTTCCATTAGGAAAGTAATACTTCCTAATGGAAAGGTTCAAACCTTCATTAGGAAAGTGCTTGTGTTTTATAAAGGGTGCCTTATCCTATAGTTGTATAGTCTGATGGTAAGGTCAGACTCGATTAATATTTAAAGTGAACCTGTCAGGTCATATAAGATTCCAAATTAACAATACTACCAAAGTGAAGGCACAATATGGTGCCTGAAAGTACCTTTCTCAGTCCTCAGTACATTCCAGTTAACATCTGAAACTATTTGGTGGTGGTGGTGGCGGTGGAGTAGCATGAGATCTAATGGAGATGTCACACTGTGACCTATAATTATTCATGTAACAAGCTACCAAAATCAGTGCATGTGCTTTATAGGGAAGAATCTTTGGCTTCTCTGCAGAACAGCTGGGTAATTCCTCTGTGAAAGAAGGGTGAACATTCTTAACTTACAGAATTGATTAAATGAAGTACCTCCCAAAAGGCAAAATTGGAGCATATTAAAGTATTTTCAAAGTATTTTAAAGTTCTCTACAACAGACGACCAGCATAGGTAGTTGTATCCAACATGTAACTTTCTATAAATGACCTGTAACATATCTTATAAATTGAAACATCTTTTCCTAATCAATCCCCCAGTCATGTGGATTGTTGTAGTGTATGAGATACCTTGTTGTACAAAAAAAACAATGTTCTCCTTCAAACATTTGAAGACATTTTTGCAGACGCTTCATTGTGTGAGATTACCAATCAGCAACTTAAAGCAAAATAAATAAATCACGTCATTGCAGGAACAAAACAATTCCCTAAACACTGTAATATTGCCCCACAGGATTTTCAAAAACGAATAGGCAAATATGTATCCTCTGAAACCACATAGACAGGTACCAGCCTTTGGCTTCGGGCTTGTTCACACCGAAATCGGTGCGTTCCAGAATGGTAGCTGCTGGAACGCACCGCGATCGCTAACGAAACTTCCCCCCGTGTTCTGGGGCGGGAGGGGGCATGGTGGTGCATTGAATTCAATGGCACTGATTCCACGCGCCCCGTCCGCAGTGCGATCGGACGCGTGGCAAAACTTTTCCACTGCAAACGCAAAAAATAGGGGAAGATCACGGTGCGTTCCATCAGCTACCGCTCTGGAATGCACCACTTTCGATGTGAACAAGCCCTTCTAGTTTGCCCCATGGTAGGCAATTATATTGGTGGGGTATTGTTCTGTGTAAGGCTAGCCATACACATTTAGATTTCTCTCATTCAGCCTCTTTGGCTAAACAGTAATCCTGTTGAACCCGTGTTACACATTCTCTTTACACACCGTGTTTTTTGTTACTTATGTTAACCATTTTTTAGGTTGAACTCAATGGAATTGTGTCTTTTTTTCAACCTGACCAACTATGTAACTATGTCATTTTTCACACAAGATTAACACATTTTTCTAATTGGATTCATCCTGAATAAAAGTTGTGTGAATCTTGTTTTTCTTTTTTAAATTATAAACAGACCCCAATGTATTAAGCCACCAATTGTTGCACCCATTACAACAGTTACTGTTATTTTTACATATCTTTAGCATACTGACAAGGATTCCTGTGCTAGAAATATGTTGGGTCGCTTGAAATTACTAGTATGCTTGTAAAAGAAAATGCACTAATGCTGGCCACACACAAGCTACATTGCTGCCAATTTCATCCAGCTTTCAACAATGGATAAAGACTGCCTACATTTATTTTTGCGATCAAACTCTAAATAAAAGTGGTTGAAATTGCCTAAAAATTGTTGTGCGTGGCCAGTATAAGTGGCTAAAACATTTCTTTTACTGTGAAATCTGTGAATGTTTGCTTTGGCCGAATAATGCCAAAAATCGATGTTCTTAAGATGTTTTTTCCCCCAGTTTACATGTAGCGTGTTGTGATAATAAATTGTGGCCACCAGATGGAGCTGAGGAACATGGGATTTCCTATGCTCCTCAGTTCCATCCAGTGGTTATAATGTAATATTACAACACACTACATTTAAACTGGGAACAAAACCATCTTACAAACATTGGTTTTTGGCATTATTCATCCAAAACGAAAGTTCACAGGTATTCACATGGTAATGGGCCCTGCAAATTGTTTATATATAGACTTCTTAGTGTATGTACTCCCAAAATCTATTTTTGTTTAATATTTTGTGGCATACCTCACCGTATCGTTTTCTTAGGAATTTTTTTTTAAGCTGTTGCAAAGGTTCTCGCCTGGAGATCCTGCCAGTAACAGCACTACAGAGACTACATACGGTGAGGCAAAATGGCGCACATACTGGAAAATAGATTTTGTCTTTACAAACACTTTCCAAAGGCAGTATATAGTACATGTAGATCAGAAGTAACAGAACATCTTTTGGTGGCAAACATAAAATCATACAGAAAAGGCTGAAGGTGTGCAGTAGTCAGAAAAGTGGGCAGATGTGCCTTATATCATCCTGGGCCAAAGCTATGCCGAGTTTTAGATGTAGCCACGTGAGGCTATCCTTACATATCACATGCCCTTCTACAGCTGTGGGTGACAATAAAGTAGTGTATGTGTTGCAAAGATGACATTGGTTGGCTGTGTTGGAAATATTCTTCTGATGCTTCAGTGTTCAATGTAGAGATAATCACAGCAGGGAGGGTCACAGTCCACACATGGTTATAGGATTCAAGATACCCATCACTTAAGTAGAAACCTATCACCAGCAATTGCTAATGACTGAGTCAGTCCACAAAATGAGTCCCTGCATCTGCTGTGGGTAGGTGTCAAATGCTTTCTGAATCAATATGTTCCTTGCCTTGGAACAAAGGTCCCCGAATCTTCAAACATTAAGCAAACAGTAGATTAGACTTTCATCCACTATACAGTACAGGCCATGGCCTTGTGCAGAGATAATCTCTAAAATGAATTGAAGTTCAGGCATGTTCCTGCCCAGCTTGTAGCACGATAAAGAGCTTCCTTCTTGTTGATGTTTTTCCACATCCTTCCTTCTTTTCTTTGCATTCTTCTGGTCTTTATTTTGTATTTTCATTGCTAAGGAAATGTGCAAATGACCAAGATTTTTTTTCCACTCAATCTTTGTTGCTCTTAATTTGTCATCAGATGTTGTGGGCTAAGATCTTGTGTCTTTTTTTGGAGATGGGTAAAGGACACCGTCACTGTGACATGGTTTTTCCACTCGTATAATCTTGGCAAATCCCAACACGCAGTTTGAAGACTATAGTCTGAATAACGATTCCATTATCTTTAACGGCCGTTTTTTTCACCTGGGGCCATTCATACACCCATAGGCGTGTTTTAGAACTAGAGTATTGTGGCCAGGTAATGGGCTCCTATAATAGTGTTCTACCAAAGCTGAGATATCTGTAAACAGTATTTGGCCCTCAAGGTAAACTTTGGTGTCCTACAAAAACAACAGAGGTCAATTAGAAGGAGATTTTACGATTGCAATTATAGCAACAACACTGCAATGACAGCTATGTAAATCAAACAAATACTTAAAATGTGTGTCTGGGAAAAATACAAAAACCCATATTCAGTACTTCTCTGAAACTGATCCACATTTTCCCATGTTTTATCCTTTAAAAAATGCTGCGAGTACAGAAAGATTCCTGTTGATCTGCCAGAAATCCAGTATGCTTACTTCCCGTGTGGGCTCACAACACTGCCTTTGCTACACTAAACACCCGACCGACAGGTCTGGAATGAAATGGAAATTTTGCATTTGCCATAAAGGCTACTGTGTCACACGGGTGAAGAGTTTGGAGTAGGCAGAAGAGAACAATCTAGGACAACATAGCTGAACTGGAAAGCGAGCTGAATTGAAGAATCTTTTCAAATCAGCTATTTGGTCCTAGATTGTTCACTTCTCCTGCCTTCTCCAAACTCTTCACCCTTTTGTGAATAACCCTGTAAGAGTTTTAATTGACTGTTGTCTGTTCATATCAGCTGATTATGCTCAGTTAGCTGCATGTTAAATGTACCAATATTAACGGAACCAACACAGGTCCAGCTCTGAGGCCCCAGTTAATTTGACGAAGGAACTGCGGTGCCAGTGTACAAATACATTTAGCACTTTGGGAGTTTCATTGCATATTTAGATAACCTCTGCTTTTTTCTCTCTCTGGGCTATTTTGTAGTCTGGGAGTGAAGCAAATATATTTTATAGGAAGCTCATATTTCCATAAAACTTTGCCTAAATCCAAACCTAGGCATTATAAAAAAAAATACCTATTATTAACTGAACTGTCATGCCTACGTGAAGGTTGATATTTCCCCCCCCCCCCAAAAAAAATGTTTTATACTGAACACAACTGTTCTTCTTATTGGTTTTGTGCCCATTTTTGGGAGTTATGTACCTAAATCATCAATCTCAGGAGACCACATGCTGGTGGCATAGTGGGAAGGTGTTACCAATGACATCTTCCCATCAGGTTATGGAAGTGCAAAGCACAGTGACAGTGTACATGCTACTATAACCCACAGCCATCGATCATATCACAGTTTATCGAAGTTCAGGGTGTGAAAGAAGATTTCAATTGTCCAATAGGCTAAAGGGTTTGTTCTACATGAATCATAAAATAACTAACAATTTGTAAGAAAAATAGAAAAGGAATATATAGAATCTTCTTTTCATTGGAAATTATTTTTAACCCTCATTTTTAAAAATCAAGTATGTATGTGTCAGGTTGTACAAACCTTTTCAAATATTCGGTAGTTTCTCGTCTTCCCATCTTCTTTATCCCATACCACAATGACCTATAAAAGAAGAGAAGATTTCCATCACTTATAAAATTAGATCTGAGGACAAGTTCCATTGGGGATCCATAAGGGACAGAACACATTGAGCAAATATTCCAATCTGTTAACTCAGAATCTATGCAACCTCATAGTCATACTGTGAACTGACCCCAACGTTTTAACAAATTAGTTTTTTTTGGCCATCTGGAAACAGGAAATTGCTGTGAAAATATACACTGTATAAAACCGAAAGCTAAAGAGCAAGATGTAAGAATTCTGTATGCAGAACTAGTAATACCTTTCCGGCCTTTGCAGAGTTTCTGATGCAGAAGAGTCCATTCAGGGGGTTTCCTGTGATAGCCATAGCTTTGAACATCCTGGAAAAACAATGCATTCATTTATCTTCAGCTTAACGGGGGACAAGAGTGTGATCTCTTCTGCCTGCTGTGAAGAAATTTACAGAGCAGCTGCAGGAGTGAACTTTGACTGATTAAACTTTCTAAACTCCATATCCTCCCATAACTGAGGTTGCAGCATAGTCATATTAACAAACATATTCATATTAACGTGTATTGAGCTAAGGCGGAAGCCAGCTCCACCCAAGAAAATATGTCAGTTTTGGATGGTTGCTGGCAAGTGTAATCACTAAGTGCCTTATCATAATACTCAATGTAATTCCCACATCTGCCTAACAACTGTGGTCTTTACAAAGCCAAATAATTGTGTCATATGAATTCTGCACATTGAAGAATAAAATGAACACTAAGATTAAAATCTGAAGCCACATTGGCTAACGAGTCCTTAATGGTTTCCTTATAAATTGGACCACAGCTGCAAATATTCTGAAGCTTAGAATGGACTACGGATGGACCGAGCTTTGCTTATAGTGAGACTGCCTGAGGCAATTGCCTCAGGCAGCATCTCATTGGGTCATGTGGGGGGAGGTAGCAACATGTGACACTCTGCCTGGCATCCCACCCAGCTCACTGACCTCAGGAGCTGAGCAGGACACACTGGCTGGCGTCCCACCCAGCTCTTGGCAACCAATGAAGTCAGTGAGCTGGGCGGGAAGCTGGTCCGAGCCAGAGGTACTAGAATCAACCCTCCCAACCGCCCACCCCCATAACATGCACCACCACAACAGCAGCCCCCGGAACATTCTCCACCATCACCAGGATGGGCATACACAACGTGAGCACTGCCTAAGCAATGTGGCTGACCGTCACTTAAAATGATTGGGCAACAGGCTACAATAGGAGAATGTATGTCACAGTGTATGAACTACCGAGACTTATTGGGGTTGATTTACTAAAGGCAAGTAGGCTGTTTGATCTGCAAGAGAATTTGCACTTTGCAGGGTGAAGCTCTGCTGACTTTCATCAGCCAATCACGTGCAAGCCTGTTTTTTTTATTTTCGTTGCATGTGATTGGTTGTTCTTTGCGAAGTGGAATTTCAGTACAGCTTTGCTCATCACCGGACAAGCCTGGCAGGTAGCAGACGTACAAATCTGAGGTGTGTGATTATCTTTAGAAATTTGATTGGGTTTGCTTTACTTTTCTGTTTCCGTTTACAGCCAGTGCCATTAAAATAAAAGAGTTTTGCATTATAGTATTCTAAGAACTGCCCATGTCCAGTTTTTCAAAAAAGTAGCAGCGGTGTTACTAGAACTTTCAAGGAATGCTTTTTGATAATAATATCTGTATTTATTCTATGTAGCTGTCGGGTATACAGAATATAGTCCCAGTACAATCTTAAAGAACAACTCCAGAAAAAAAAGTATTAACCCTTGCAGTGGGCCTCCCCCCGCACTGCAAGGGTTAACTGCTTGTTTTCATCTAGGTAGTAAAATAAAAAAAGTTGTACTCATGCGGCCGGCTTGTTAGACTGATCCTTCCAGCGTCTCTCCCCCTCCGCTGCAGCAGTCTAAGGTCCCTGAGCCATCACGTTCTATACACATGTATAGGACAGTAGGACGCTGAGGGACATACTGTAGCTTAAGCTGGAGGGAGCACTGTGACAGCTAGCTAGCTTCAAGGTTTGGGTGAGTATAACTTTTTTTATCTTGGTCCCTAGACGAAAGCAAGCAGTTCACCCTTGCAGTGCTGGGGTAGCCCCACTGCACAGGTTAATGCATTTTTTTCTCCTTCTTTTAAATGTTGCCCAAAAAGTCTATTTATCTTATCAGTTCAGAAAAAACAAAACACAAATTACCTCTCGACATCAAAGGATTCACATGTATCCACAAAGACCGAAGGAGGCAGCGATACCTTAAAAAGAAATGTAGCCTGATCAGTACTGATACCTTTATTTACTATATGTATCACTTGATTGCTGAACTGATATTAAATAAAGAAATATGCATTAGCAATGTTGCCTGTTAAGTTGTAAAATATTATCAATTGTGACATTCTGTCTCCCGAACTAGACAGAAAGGCTACATGCACACAGGGCTTTTCTATGCGTTCTGTGCATCGTACATGGAACGACTACCTGCGACTTGGGATATATGCTTGTTATATATTTGTCTGTAGATGCAATCTGTCTGCATCCAGTGGCAAGCATCGTTCCATGTACAATCACAAACAGACAACCACAGACAGATGCGGCCACTGTCAACCTGTCATTCACTGGAATGGGCACAGCGGCCGCATCTCTATAGACCCACCTAGGATTCCTACCACTAGAATCCACAGGAATCCCCAGCCGCACATAATAGCCTCATGTGTATAAGGCAGGGGTAGCAAACCTCCGGCCCTCCATGAGGCATTGCAAGATTCTCACAGCCGCAGACATGACTCCCGAAGAGAGATGCATCATGGGATTTGTAGTTTCACCACAGCTGGAGGGCCGGAGGTTTGCTACCCCTGGTATAAGGCTTTATAGGTCACCACACAGGCTGGCTCTACAGTGCAAATTATATTCCTCTCTATAGACCACCCAGTTGATGCTGTGCATTGTGGGAGCAGCAATCTTGTAGCTGCATACAGCATGTGACATGCTCTGGAACAGGTGAGAAGTTTACCTGGCTGAATACCAGGTAAAAATAACTCTGTATATTTACACTGGTCGAGCATCCAGTGGACACTACAAGTCGAAACGTTACACAGGTGTGGCCCACTATTGTCACTATCAGGAAACCCACCCTGAGAAATGCCATGCAGCCATCGCTGGGTCAGGTGCATGTGGACAGGAAGTGCATGCAAAGCAGCTGCATATGATCAGCAGCCATGAGATACAACAAAGGATAAAGAAAGGACACAGATTTAACAAATGGCAGTTGTTTATGATACACAGTGCTTTACCCCAGTTGGAGTTTACAGATACTTTAATGGTAAACTAGCTGATTTCATGCTCCTGTGCTGTCACATCACTTCATACAATCCTCTGAAAATCTATGACTGAAGGTAGAGATATGACACACATTGAATACTTTTAATTTAAAGTCACGCTTACTGGTAATGAATAACCTTTTCATGTTATCCTTTAAAGACTTGCCAACATGCCAAACAGCACTCTCCATGGATGGCATGCTGTGAAAAAAAAATGGTTTTGTGTCTGCCATTGTACAGTGTGTACCTTTTCATAGTCATCGTCACTGTCACTTCCCTCATCCACATCTCTTGACCTTCCTGGTCGAACGGGAGTGTCCATGGTTTTATCTATAAAGCTCTGACCATCGGGTGGTGACCTCCTGCAAAACAGCATATATATTATAAGATATTATATAATATATTTTATAGAAAATAGCTCCCCAAACAGTGTAGTTTTTTATAAACTTTTTCACATTTTTTTTATGTTTACATTTTAGATAAATAAGTAGCTGATTAGAACCCCTGACAGGATTTTACTGCTGTGTCCCTGCTAGCTAGATTCCCCCTCTCTCTCTCCTGGTGACCATTATCACACAGACAGAAACAGATGACCAATCTAATATATTTACAAAACAGGACTAGATGGCAAATCTTCCAACGGGGACACCTGTTCCATTGACAGTTACAAAATTACCCTCATTTTGTAGAGAGTTCCTCTAACTTCCTTTTGCATCTCTGGGACAGGAAGTAGATGGAAATCCCTAACAGGAGGCAGACAGAAATAAAGAAAAAAAAATTCAAGGGGGAATTTGCATGTAACATTCACAGATTTAAAAAAAAAAATCTTCTCTATTATTTTTGGAACAAGAACTAATAATAATCTCGAAACCTTTTCAGTTTCCTCTTTTTTGGTAATGTGAATCATCCATCAAAACCACACAACTTCCAAAATGGTGTCATTTAGGCTTTTGTGGGCATCTTAAGAAAGTTGTTGTTCACAGCAACCAATGCAGTTTAGGCATTGCACCTCCTGGCTTTGTGTCCCGCCAAGCTCAGTAACGTCACTGGTGGCCAGGAGCTGGGCGGGAAGCTGGCCATGGTGTCCCAGGTTGCTAAGAGCTGAGCAGGGAAATGTGCATTGCCCTGACTCATCTCCGCCCAGCTCTTAGCAAACTGGGACACTCTGGCTGCAAAGGGGGCAGCAGGCACACAGCAAAAGTTGTGCAACAGAGCAGCCATGCCACTCTGCCTGCCCCCCCTAATGAGACCCAAAGAGATGCCACCTGAGGCAAAAACCTCAACCTACCTCATTAAAGGGACTGCCCTGAGTCTAGGAAAAGGAAAGGAATAGTTCTACCATCAGATACTTTAGCAACTCGAGGCCAGTCCAACATGGCAAAGTGATGACGTTCATCTGAGCCATCCTGTGTCTAATGCTTAGGCCCTGTTCACACTTGAGCTGAGCATCTTTGGTAGTTTTTCAGGCTTTATTTTTGCGTTTGTAGAGGTGTTTTTGTGAATGTTTTAAGGCTTTAGCTTTTGTTTTATTTTTAGCCAATAGAACGCGAGTTACTACGAAAGAAAATTTGTGTTTTTTGCACATCTTTCAGGTCCTCACATTGAAATCTATTGGGACCAAGAGGCATGACTTGCAGATCTCATTATCAGTCGTAAACTAGATCTGCACACTAACAAAGGGTTTTGTCTGTCCTAACAAGGGTTATAACTTGTATGTTAATGAGAGGAAGCTCAGTCTGTCCCCAGTCTTTGTCTGTTAAGAAGCCCCTTATTCCCTTAGCCCTAGTGCTAATTCTATTTTGGCTTAGTACAGTGACCTGCCTTGAAATAAATGTAACAGAACATATAATCTTGAATAATATACTTACAGCATTGGTGAGAATCCAATATTCTCAGTATCTGGTTTTGGTGGGCGTACCCTGGATATGACAAGAGGTGGCCTAATGGGTCCAGTTTTCATTAGAGAGCTTGAGGGCTCCAAGGATTTGTCTTCATTAATTGGAATGTTTGGTTTGGCTCTTGGAATAAGTGGGGGGATGTTGTCTTCCGTACTTCTAGACAGGTATGGAGGTTTTGCAGGTGGTACAGGAGGTGGTATGTGGCTAGGCTTGTTTGGTAGTATGGAAGCTGGCATGTGTCTAGGCTTGCCTGGTGGTACAGGAGCCGGCATGTGGCTAGGCTTGTTTGGCGTTACAGGAGCTGGCATGTGGCTAGGCGTGCTTGGCGTTACAGGAGCTGGCATGTGGCTAGGCTTACTTGGTGGTAAAGGAGCTGGTAAGTGCCTAGGCAATTTTTCATTAGCAAGTGCAGCAGGCTTTAATGTTGCAGGTGGAGAAGGTGGTTTTCTTAATAGGTTACACAGTTCCTCTTTTAACTGTTTATTTCCTATCATAGAATTTGGGGGAATACTGTGCAATTCATTTGAAGTTAGACAGTTTGTGAGTTCATTTTTAGAGCTAGAAACGGAAGAATCCCTCCTCTGTGATGGAGATTGAAAAGATGGTGGGTTTATGTCACAGGACATGGAGAAGCCTGAAGAGGCCATACTGGGCCGTGTTGGTAGTTTAACAGCCCAGTCAGTTGCATTGTTTATTGGCAGAGGAGGTGGAGGTTTAAACTCAAATGGTTTGTGAGCTGGTGAAAAAGGAGGGATTGGTGGAGGCTTCACATCTGGGTCAAACTTGAATGGAACTGTAGAATCCTTCCTTGGCCATTTGAGATCTGAATTAGATATCACCTTTGTGGGTGCTGGAGGAGGTGGCTTTGGCATTCCAGCAACGGGTATAAAATGCCTAATTTGCTGTTCTTCAGCCTTTGGTTCCCTTGGATCAGCCTTTCCTCTTGGAACTGGTGGTGGTGGATAGCTTGGCGCACCATCTGAACAACAAAAAGCAAATGACAAAATGATAAACCCATGGCATCATTTCTACAGTGATATGGAGAATGTATGTAGGTGAGGTCACAGAAAGGAGCGCGCTTAGGATCAGCATCACCAGAATAGTGATATGGAGAATGTACGTAGGTGAGGTCACAGAGAGGAGCGAGCTAAGGATCAGCATCACCAGAATAGTGATATGGAGAATGTACGTAGGTGAGGTCACAGAAAGGAGCGAGCTTAGGATCAGGGTCGCCAGAATAGTGATATGGAGAATGTACGTAGGTGAGGTCACAGAAAGGAGCGAGCTTAGGATCAGGGTCGCCAGAATAGTGATATGGAGAATGTACGTAGGTGAGGTCACAGAAAGGAGCGAGCTTAGGATCAGGGTCGCCAGAATAGTGATATGGAGAATGTACGTAGGTGAGGTCACAGAAAGGAGCGAGCTTAGGATCAGGGTCGCCAGAATAGTGATATGGAGAATGTACGTAGGTGAGGTCACAGAAAGGAGCGAGCTTAGGATCAGGGTCGCCAGAATAGTGATATGGAGAATGTACGTAGGTGAGGTCACAGAAAGGAGCGAGCTTAGGATCAGGGTCGCCAGAATAGTGATATGGAGAATGTACGTAGGTGAGGTCACAGAAAGGAGCGAGCTTAGGATCAGGGTCGCCAGAATAGTGATATGGAGAATGTACGTAGGTGAGGTCACAGAAAGGAGCGAGCTTAGGATCAGGGTCGCCAGAATAGTGATATGGAGAATGTACGTAGGTGAGGTCACAGAAAGGAGCGAGCTTAGGATCAGGGTCGCCAGAATAGTGATATGGAGAATGTACGTAGGTGAGGTCACAGAAAGGAGCGAGCTTAGGATCAGGGTCGCCAGAATAGTGATATGGAGAATGTACGTAGGTGAGGTCACAGAAAGGAGCGAGCTTAGGATCAGGGTCGCCAGAATAGTGATATGGAGAATGTACGTAGGTGAGGTCACAGAAAGGAGCGAGCTTAGGATCAGGGTCGCCAGAATAGTGATATGGAGAATGTACGTAGGTGAGGTCACAGAAAGGAGCGAGCTTAGGATCAGGGTCGCCAGAATAGTGATATGGAGAATGTACGTAGGTGAGGTCACAGAAAGGAGCGAGCTTAGGATCAGGGTCGCCAGAATAGTGATATGGAGAATGTACGTAGGTGAGGTCACAGAAAGGAGCGAGCTTAGGATCAGGGTCGCCAGAATAGTGATATGGAGAATGTACGTAGGTGAGGTCACAGAAAGGAGCGAGCTTAGGATCAGGGTCGCCAGAATAGTGATATGGAGAATGTACGTAGGTGAGGTCACAGAAAGGAGCGAGCTTAGGATCAGGGTCGCCAGAATAGTGATATGGAGAATGTACGTAGGTGAGGTCACAGAAAGGAGCGAGCTTAGGATCAGGGTCGCCAGAATAGTGATATGGAGAATGTACGTAGGTGAGGTCACAGAAAGGAGCGAGCTTAGGATCAGGGTCGCCAGAATAGTGATATGGAGAATGTACGTAGGTGAGGTCACAGAAAGGAGCGAGCTTAGGATCAGGGTCGCCAGAATAGTGATATGGAGAATGTACGTAGGTGAGGTCACAGAAAGGAGCGAGCTTAGGATCAGGGTCGCCAGAATAGTGATATGGAGAATGTACGTAGGTGAGGTCACAGAAAGGAGCGAGCTTAGGATCAGGGTCGCCAGAATAGTGATATGGAGAATGTACGTAGGTGAGGTCACAGAAAGGAGCGAGCTTAGGATCAGGGTCGCCAGAATAGTGATATGGAGAATGTACGTAGGTGAGGTCACAGAAAGGAGCGAGCTTAGGATCAGGGTCGCCAGAATAGTGATATGGAGAATGTACGTAGGTGAGGTCACAGAAAGGAGCGAGCTTAGGATCAGGGTCGCCAGAATAGTGATATGGAGAATGTACGTAGGTGAGGTCACAGAAAGGAGCGAGCTTAGGATCAGGGTCGCCAGAATAGTGATATGGAGAATGTACGTAGGTGAGGTCACAGAAAGGAGCGAGCTTAGGATCAGGGTCGCCAGAATAGTGATATGGAGAATGTACGTAGGTGAGGTCACAGAAAGGAGCGAGCTTAGGATCAGGGTCGCCAGAATAGTGATATGGAGAATGTACGTAGGTGAGGTCACAGAAAGGAGCGAGCTTAGGATCAGGGTCGCCAGAATAGTGATATGGAGAATGTACGTAGGTGAGGTCACAGAAAGGAGCGAGCTTAGGATCAGGGTCGCCAGAATAGTGATATGGAGAATGTACGTAGGTGAGGTCACAGAAAGGAGCGAGCTTAGGATCAGGGTCGCCAGAATAGTGATATGGAGAATGTACGTAGGTGAGGTCACAGAAAGGAGCGAGCTTAGGATCAGGGTCGCCAGAATAGTGATATGGAGAATGTACGTAGGTGAGGTCACAGAAAGGAGCGAGCTTAGGATCAGGGTCGCCAGAATAGTGATATGGAGAATGTACGTAGGTGAGGTCACAGAAAGGAGCGAGCTTAGGATCAGGGTCGCCAGAATAGTGATATGGAGAATGTACGTAGGTGAGGTCACAGAAAGGAGCGAGCTTAGGATCAGGGTCGCCAGAATAGTGATATGGAGAATGTACGTAGGTGAGGTCACAGAAAGGAGCGAGCTTAGGATCAGGGTCGCCAGAATAGTGATATGGAGAATGTACGTAGGTGAGGTCACAGAAAGGAGCGAGCTTAGGATCAGGGTCGCCAGAATAGTGATATGGAGAATGTACGTAGGTGAGGTCACAGAAAGGAGCGAGCTTAGGATCAGGGTCGCCAGAATAGTGATATGGAGAATGTACGTAGGTGAGGTCACAGAAAGGAGCGAGCTTAGGATCAGGGTTTGCCAGAATAGTGATCTGGAGAATGTACATAGGTGAGGTCACAGAGAGGAGCAGGCTTAGGTTCAGCATCACCAGAACACTTCAACACTATACATGCATTACTTCATAATTGATTTAAAGTGCACTTATCCTTTAAGCTATGACATGTTGTGCCCTTAGATATCCATTGTTCATCACAAAGTAACAGCATTTATTTTATCATCTTCTGCATGAACTAAATATTTATCACCAATCTAGTATTCAAGTATAACTGGCTTACCATCAATGGCATCTGGTTTTACATAGTCCTCCTCATCATCATCTTCATCATCCTGCCAGCTATCTGTTAACATATAGAATGGGGTTAGTAGTCTGTCTGCTGGTCACATGATTGGTAACACTTGCATATTTCATATAATGAGCGCCATGATAGAATTATTCTAATGCCTCGCATCATAGTAACTGTAACTCAAATCACAGGTCAGAGTGTGACAAGCTAGTGAATGTGACCAAAGACATCTGTATTGCAGGAAAAATATGATTTATTTTTAGTAAAATCGTGTATTGAGTTATTGTGAAGTTTATAAAGAGTGATATACTGTATATTATATCACCACAAAACAGGGGGTCCTCGAATGTCCCTACCATCGCAACTTTATAATCCTAAGTCTCTAAATTTTGAACCCCAGGCTATTATAAAAGACACAGATATGCAGCTCTGTACTCATTAATGCACTGCTTAATTTATTTTTTAAATGGCAAACAGTGTAAGTACCCAAATTTGCTTTGGTATCTACCTCTACATTATAGTCTGTATAGCAGAGCTCTGAGAGGGGTGGAAGAAGCAGCACAAGTAGCCAATCATGTGTGCTGCACTCCATGGAGCATGCAGATAGGAGGAAAACGCAGAGTGACAAGCTAATCAGTGTGCTTCTTTAATGTTTCATGTCCAGTCACAGGGTAGGGAGGAGATGTGAAAGTGAAACAGCAGAAGAAAAAAAAATCAGGTCCCCTCCCCTCCTAGACAGGGCTGTGCTGTGTGGCAGAGCCAAATTGAATGATCAGAAATGCAAATCCTTTAATAGGTTACAAGGGCCTTTCAATGTGTTTTTCAGGTCTGTATTTATTGATTTGCCTGGAGTTCAGCTTTAAAACAACACGATTATTAATTTGCTAGTGTGCAGTAAATATAAAGAAAACCTGTCATGAAATAAATCTGGGGGCGGCCATTACTGACCTCTATCTGAAAATACTAGTTACCTGGCTGTAAATATCGCCCACCGGATTCAGTAATCTGCCCCAGAACAAGCTCAGTGAGAAAACTGCCATGGGCCACCCACCCAATCAGCTGTGGGCAGGGGCATTCCATGCCCTGCAGATGCACATAAACAAAGGGGCGGGATGTTTGTGCTGAGGTCCTTGACCTTACATGGCCACATGGGATAAGAATATATCTTAATAAGGGAAGTTATATGTTTATTGTTACATGATTAATATTTACTTTAAAGAACAACTCTGGGGGAAAAAATTATTAACCCTTGCAGTGGGGCTGCCCCCGCACTGTAAGGGATAACTGCTCGTTTTCGTGTAGGCACTAAAATAAAAAAAGTTATACTCACCCGAACCTTGGAGCCGGCTGGCTGTCACAGGGCTCCCTCCAGCCTGTCTCCTCCTCCATTGCAGCGATGGCATGCCCCTTGGTGTCCTCACATCCTATACACTGTATATAGAATGTGATAACTCGAGGATCCTTAGACCGCTGCAGCGGAGAGGGAGAGACACTGGAAGGACCGGTCAAAGAGCAAGCTGGCCCCTGAGAATTGGGCGAGTATAACTTTGTTATCTTAGTCCCTAGATGAAAAGGACTTAACCATTGCAGTGCAGGGGCAGCCCCACTTCAAGGGTTAATAAATATTTTTCCTGGAGTTGTACTTTAATTATTGACGTAATCAACTATTTGCTGTCAATGCAACAATACAGATGACCCTGAACACTGTCAAATGTAAGGTATCAGGCTTTAACAGGGTATGGTGGAGGGGGTATTCTGGTGGGATTCATGTCTGTTCAATGGTTTCCCCAATCTTCATTCTTTATTCCCCTTTTTATTGTGTTCAGACTGGGGCACGTGGCACAGGATGCCATGACTCAAAAAATACATTAGAGAGGAAGAGAATATGGAGATGAACTATTACCATCTGCTGGATTGTGGACGTATTTAATAGCGACGGGGCGCTCCACTGACCCGTAGAAGCTGTCTGAGTCGGAGCCACTCTCACTGGAAAGGAAAGTTCATGAAAGTTATACGTTTTCAGAAGGCAGAAACAAAATTGTTCTCGTGCTTACAATGCAGGTATCTTAGCTGGCTGCTCATGGCTCAAATTTTGGCCGATTTAGAGGAATCAAGCGAAACCTGAGCTGCGGGTGGCCCCATTGGCTAAACCTGGCTTGACAAACGTTAATATCAATTATAAAACTGAAGGAGCCGAGCGGAAACTTGTCAGCCAAACAGAAAATGCAGCCAATAAGCTTCAGTCACCATACGGGTATCCAAACAGTCAGAGGCTGCTGGAATATAATACTCGGCAGGGGAGATTCCTCCATCCATGTTGTTTGGAGAGGATGGGGGAATCAAGTGGTTTTTTCTCATTCAGCCCTCAGAATGTGTGTGGCCAGCTTAAGCGTCTTTCTTGTGAATTACTCTACATTGTATAGGGCAAAACTTACTGACCATTGTATAGGGCAAAACTTACTGACCATTGTATAGGGCTGAACAATATCAGTTTAAAAGAGAACTAGCCAAACCTTTTTTTTTTTGGCTTTAGTCATCTTTTGGGTCAAGGTTGTATATTTATTAATGGACTCCTGTGACCCTAAGTCATCATCTAGAGGGCTACTGTCTGCTCTTTGCTGACAGCGCAAAGCCGCGCTGCGGCTGCGAAAGATCATGACAATATTGGTGGGAAACACCCCGCTACCTGATTGACAGCTTGCTCTGCCTCTCTAGATCCAGAGCCAGCTGTGCCCGCCCCCCTCCCTTGTCTGTCCCTCCAATGAGAGGTGGAGGAACGGAGAGGGGAGGGGAGAAACCCTGTGGGAGCAGAGACTGACAGTCACTTGTCTCTGCAGGGAGAAGACCGTGAGCTGAGCAATCAGCGGTTTGTGATCACTCAGCTTGATCTATAGAGCTGACGTGTGACAGCTGCAGTGTCACACGCCAGCTCTAAGTATTTGGAAGAGTACATTTTACTCCTGTAAACAAAACAAAAAATCCCATGCAACCCGCGGCTGCCTGAATAAAATGGTGCTGCTGAACAGTGACTGCTGATCGGATGGGATGCAATCAATGTCCAGCTGACAGTTTTCTGCTCAGCTCAGTCGATTTTTACATTTTGCCAAGTTGGGTGGTGCTTGCAGGGCTACCCACAACTCCTTCCTGCTGAATCAGCTGAAATTCATACCATCTATGGAAGCCTTTACTATAATTGTACAGGGTTACTTATGAAATATGTAAATATAGATCTTTGATATGCTAGTTTTTGAAATTATGATAATTTGAAGAACTCCAGGGCTATCCCTGCACAGCAAGGGCTAAGTGCTCATTTTGTCCAGAGGGTGAAAATAAAGAAGAAATATTCACTCGATCCGCAGTCCCGCCTGACTGCTAAACCAGTCGCCACAGCCCCGTCTACCCTGGGCTTTGGTGGGCTAAGGACCTGTTATGCCATCATGTCTAAAGCAGGTCAAAAAGACATGAGGACGCTGAGAAACTTATCACACGCGGAGCGGAGCGGAGAGGGAGAGTGGTGAGGGGTCACTGCCGCAAGACAAATGAGTATTTCTTCTTTATGTTTGCTCCTAGACTAAAACGAGCAGTTAACCCTTGCAATGCGGGGGTAGACCCACTGCAAGGGTTAATTTTTTTAAATCCTGGAGTTCTTCTTTAAGATTATTCAAATGTTTGCATAAGGCCAAACAGGATATGTTCTCTAATATTCTGCAGTTGAACAAGAGGGACATTTTTCAACTGGAACAACTCTTTCACTCATAACTGCCTAAGAGGGGGATTTCTCTCACATAGAGGTTTCCTCTCACTTCCTGTTGTATCTCCATGATAAGAAGTGAAGGGAGATCTTCCCAACAGAACACAGACAGCAAATAGCATTCAGCATTGGTTGCTTGGCCACATACCTCAGGTCTGTAATCGTTTCTTTCTTCTCATGATAATGATCTATCTCCTTCCTCAGGGCTAGCATCCATCTCTGTAACAGAATGTATTGTTTTGTATATGTAATTTCCTTAACATATTTTACCCATTCAGTCCATGAAAATGAAATACCAATACATGTAGAAAAATGGTGCAAAAGATTGAATACAATTGCAAACCAGATAACTGAAAGGTATAGCCCAGTCCAAATGGGCATGCACACCATTGAATTGCATACATGGATCACACTACTTGGTGAATTGTTGAGTATTTTATTGTAGATCTGTTGATCCTGTCAGAAATCCGGTAGGCTCCAAACTTGCTGTTTGAGCATACAAAGTGTCTCTGCTACACTGAAATCCCAAGCAGTTTTGTCAAATCCCAAGCAGTGTTGTCACCCTTGCCCAACTTCTCCTTCTCTGGACTATACAACACCTCTGCCTTATAGTATGGAGATGAGGGGACGGGAGGTGTTCCCAAGAAAAGAGAAAAAGAGAAAAAAATCAAGTGATATGGATTTCGGTGCAGTAGAGGCAATGTGCCCTCAGCTCACACAGGAAGTTAGGAGCTTACTGACTTTCTGCCCTGTTTTTTCAGCTACCTTTTTTTAATGGTTAAGTTGTGTACTCTTCTCCCCATAGGTATGTTCAAGTAACTGATTCTCTTGGTTCCCACATGTGCCAGTAAAAGTTCTTACAATAAGGGTGTGAAGAGACACTAATTCAGCTTCAGCCAGTGGTGTAATTACAATATATCACATCTAATAAAGGGGGAAATCCGGTCATGGTGTAATGAAGCCTTGCTTTTGGAGTCACATTATCAGGATTGATATTTCAGTACACCAATCTGAACATGAAATAGAATCTCCTTGTCTGCTGCCAGATGGACCTACCTTCCGCTCATCTTCAGATGCTGCTGAGAAGTACCATGTTCGGTGTTTTTTGCTAATGTGCGCCATCTTGAATGGGAAAACATTATTAGACGTGGTCTCTTCTGCTGCCCGCATTACCCTAGTAAAAGCCATGAAGAATGTAAATGAAGAGGAGGCATAATTTTCAGGTTAGCCAATCTGTGGCTAATTTATAACAAATCAATTAGTGGTCTGAAGATGAATCAATTAAGTTCTGTTGTCACAATATTCTTCCTGAGTTTAAGGAATCACACATAATCCTTCATTTTGGTCAAGAAAGGTTTGGTTCACCTTCCCTAGCAACCTTCAACAACCTGATCTGATTTTGCTTTGGGATACTGGACACATTCATTATGAGTCAGTGTGGTCTAGAATAGCCAAACTGCCGGTCTGCCCAGTTTAATTACACACAATCGATGCGATTGGACCTTGAACTAGTGCATTCACTTTTCAGAAGAAACTGCAGTTCTTGTCTTTGTTAATCAAGTCTGGTTGGTTGCTATGGGCCATACAAATTTTCTCCTTGGAAGTCGTTATATAAACTGCCCCCTGTACTCCGTAAAGAGCATATATCTTATGTAATAATACAGGCCTATTCTGGAATATTTTAGCTTACCACACCATGAGGCCATGTATGCCTCAGGTTAAAATTATTCCTGAAGCTCCCAAGTGCACGAGGGACCAGGTGCACACCCGTGAGTTGATAAAAGAAGTAAATGTCTGTTAATACTTCTAGTAATAGTTGCTTCACAAGTCCTACTCCATGGAAGTCATACTACTGATGTGGTTTGTCAACTTACAAGGTATAGGGGGCCTCAACTCCAGTTCCTGATATCAACAAATAATGTTCAATATGCTGGAGAGGACTGTCAGAAACCACAGACATATACGAGGAAATGATGGTCAGAGACTGTGGACATGCTGTATGGTTGGCTGGAGGCTGGCGACATGTAACATGAGATAAGCTGCTACTATTACCGCTTTACAAATCAATAGTCCTGCTGCAACTACAGATTGCTAGGGTCCAACAAGGACCAAGGAGCCATAGGTTGGGCACCAAGGGTTTATACTGTATAGCTTGTTAATACTAGTTACCAAACCCTAAAACAGCTCCATCCATGTTGGACAAATGGCTGCATATTTGGGTTGTATCTGTGCTGTATCCAGTGACTCTTGATGCAAAGTTGAACACTCTGGTATGAAGGCTCTCTCCACTTCTTTTTCGAATAGACCTCCTACTCCTTGGTTACTTTTTTCTCACCAAAACTATGATCATTAATATAGAGCCCACCCCCCTACCCTGGTGGCTAAAACAGCCTCAGACTTTCCACAACATTTAAAAGTATTTTGTGAGGAATTGTGGCAGTTCACCCAAAATAGCGTTTGAGAGGTCAACTGCTGATGCTAAACGAGAAGACCTGGCTCACAATCAATATTCCAATCCACCAAGCTCATTAAATTGTATCTTCATGGAGCTGGCATTGTGGACAGGGCACAGTTATGGTTAAGCAAAAAAAAGGACCTTTCCCAAACTGTTGCCACAAGGATGCAAGCACACAATTGCTCATAATGTCTTCGTATTCTGTAGCAATAACAGTGCCCCTCACTTTAACACCTGAACTTAATTTGAAGGTTCTCCATATACTTTAGGCCACATAGGTGGATGTGAGCTCAGGTGTCCACAAACCTTTGGTCACATAGTGTATATTCTGTATTAATTGGATATATAAGTACTTACCTGTTGTAGCCATTTAGTGAGAAGGCTCCTTGTGAGAATGTTGAGGTGCTGGTTTTGAAGTAGTACACACATCCTTTGTGTATAATAACATATCGTAAGGGCCCTAGTAAAATAAAGATAACAACTGAAGTTAGGTTTCTAATTTTTATAGCTAACCTGTGTGGCTCTCTATATGCTATCCTATCACATATAAATACCACAACAGCGTGATCTGGTCATACTGAGGGTCACTAAATTAGTGTTTTCTAATCCTTTTCTCCAGTCCCCCTAACATACAGTATGTATACATAGCAGGTAACCTCACAAATGCAATTTACATTACTGTCTGGATCCACAGAATGTGAACTGATGCTGGGAATTTAAGACTCATTTAGTAATGACTGTGCTAGATCGTAATATCACGTTGGTGCCCAAGATTCCCCCATTGCTAATATAAAATGCTACACAGGGGTCTTCCACTATGACACATGTCATACGTATGTAGCCAGATCATAATATGTGTAGGCAACTTCCCTGTGGTATTAACGTCACTGACATGACAGATAGAAGTTCATCTGTCTGCTATTTAGGATGCTAAGTTAACCAGAGTGACAGGAAATAAAGGTTTTTCAAATGCTAACATTTTTCTATAGATAGATAGAACATTTTAATTTCCTCAGGACTTTATAAAATGGTATGATAGAAGTTTACTAATGCTTTGGAAACATATTGTATATGTGATCAAAATGCAGCTTTTCCAAACGTGGCTATGTATCAATCTGCTATGTACCATTATTACAACCCTGCTATGTCCAAGTCCTACATTTACCATTTAATATTACCTATACTGCAAGATTCCAGTTAAGACATTGTCGTCTTCTCCAAACCAACTTCCTGAACATGTACAAGCCCAAACAACACTTTCACCAAGCTCCCTGTAGAGGCTATCACCAGCAGCTGACACTATTGTAGATGTTTTCTTCCACAAGGTAGGTCTGTTATGATATCCTGAGCCTCACAATATCCCACCTAGTGTGTTTGTAAGCCCCACACTGAGAACAATGCTGTTATCTGTTATAGCTAAAGCTCCCATTGTAGGTTGTCACTATTTGACTCCTGGAAGCGGTAATAGTGATATGCGTTCCCGGAAATAACTCTACTTCTTTGCAATAGCAGTCTCCAGCACTGGATAATCTCAATGGGAATTGTTCTGTTATCTCAACAAGATGACAGGCCACACCAAATTTTTGCTCAGACTGGTAGATTTAGACTCTTGTACTGATAGATTTAGACTCTTGCTTGTGCCACGTAACAGATGTCACGCCCTTTGAAGGGTCAGACAACCCAAAAGTGGTATTTCAGTTTTTAGTACATGTTGGTAAATTAGCTTACTAAAGGATTCCAAGAATTCCAATGGCTTTGAGTTTATAGTTCCCGCACCTGTCACAGAAGTTACGCGGGGTTATGCTCTCCCTGTCAGAATTTCTATTGATATGAAATAATAGAGAATGCAACAAGAGGAGTGGAAACATCTTAAGGCAAGTGGAAACACACAATCCTCCAAGGTGGGCAGAAAACTATGGCAGGGCAAATTTGCCAATGGGGCCCCGAAGATGCAACTGGATTTAAATCTGAGATGAACTTAATTAAGTCTTTTCTAAACATGAAGAACGGATCAGTTTGGAAGGATAAACTCTTCTGTGCCACAGAGATGATCTTCATATAATAAAGAATAGCAGGAAATACATCCAGAACAGGAGACATTGACTGGAGTTAGGCCTCATTTACACCTCGTGACCTAGTCACATTCTACCTTGCCTAAGACATCTGTAACTATACATCTGTATTATGTAAGGCTAAGTCCAGCCACATCTGTGTTCGACACAGTAGGCAAGTCATAAACCCCTGTCTGGTTTTTACTGTGGTCTCTGACCCCACTGAAGAGGCTTCTTCATTTCCAAATTATTATTACTACTTGTGTTGTCCTGTGCTGATAGCAACAGTTCCTGACATTTTTGGGCTGCGGTTACAGGCTAGTGTCAATAATTGCAGTGAAATCTCACAAAAGTGTCACATACAGTAAAAACTTGACAGAAGAACTCTTCCCAAGTCCCCTATAAAAAAAGAATAAAGTTTTGGATAGAGTGGTAGAGTTCATGCCTTAGCACTTTTGGTGTGTATTTATCTTACGTGGGTGCCTTTCCTAGGGGCGAATGCGTATTAATCACAACCATATTTCATTTTACATGTGTTTTAACATGCAGTGAAGATGTATGTACTACACAGTTCAGTGGTCAAGGTGGCGTGGCATACAGCGCTTACATTTGGGTTAGCCAAGGACACATGTTAAAAAAAAAAAGAATGAAATGTACAGCATACTGACATACTGAACAAGCTAAAGGAATGCAGGAACTGAGAGCTCAGCTCTGCTTTCTTATGTTGCTCATCAGTGTTTGCAGAAGATGACCACATAGACATTTGGTTTATCTGCGTAGCCTCACAACATGTTCTTATAGGCTGTTCTGCACCACTGTTGTTTCATTTCAGGTCACAAAGCTGACTAGATAGACAAGTGAAAGAAACATAATTTTAAAAAAATATAGTTCCCTATGCAAATATTTAAACTAAAAAGGGTCAACCCACACAGCTCTGACATTTCAGTTCTGGGTAGATGTCGAAAGATTGAATTATGTCTTAGCATGTCTTTAGGATTTTGGAAAAGAAATCTCAAAACCTGATTTCCCAACTCTGCTTGCCTATTCTTGCCATGACAAGCAGTCTTTATTTCTCCTTGTCATATGTTTCCTAGCTGTGTGACAACTAAGATCTCAGTATTTTAAAGGGCCTTTTGAACATAATTATGTTTCACATAGTATAACAAAGACTGCAAGACCCCATATTGCTCTAAAGCAAGGGCAGCCAAACCCCAGCCCTCCAGCTGTGGTGAAACTACAAATCCCATGATGCATCCCCCTCCGGGATTCATGTCTGTGGCTGTGAGAATCTTGCAATGCCTTCGCTAGGGCACATAGACCACTGTTTTCTGCATGCTCGTTCGCAATGGAATGGTACAGACCATTCCACACGCTAAAATTGATTGTTTTTGCATGCATGCTAGTGAGAACATACCCTTAGAATGGGTTCACACTATTTTCCGGACCAGATCTGGAACATAGTGCATTGCGATTTTGCCGCGATTGGAAATTTTTGTTTTGTTTAGCTTAAAATTGTCTTACAGGTGTGTTCCAGTGCATTCCATGCGTTTTTGATGCGTTCCAGTGCATTCCAGACCAGACAAAATAGGACAAGCAGTATTTTTCTGGCATGGTCTGGAATGGACTGTGCTGGTGGGAACAGAGGCCAGAAATAGCATAGGGATACTTTGGGATGCATTTTGGGTCTGGAAACAGTCTGGTCTGGTCTGGAGATAATCTGGATGTGGTGTGAATGGGCCCTTAATGAATACAGAGATGCAATAATTTGTGGCTTTTATATCTGCCTGGAGGTCAGCTTTAACATGCACTTATATCAAGAATAAACAGCAAATTAAGAATGATAGGCATGTAAGTAAAGGAAAGGTAAGACCTGCTATTGACAGCATCCTATCAGCAGCCTTTCAGGTCTAAAGTAATACCCAAAATGGTTGCAAGTGATAGGTGTGTCATCAGGTTTTACAAAACTGCCACATTAGAGTGTTTAAAATCCTTTTTAACATTTAGGAATCTACCTGTTATTTTTGCAACTTACATTTAAAGAGCTGCAGCTGCTTTCCTCCTCTTTTGTGCAAGTATCCTGAAATGCTGACTCCACCAGGCATTGTCAGTAGGTTTTGAGCACCAATCGCCTTCATTGGAACTGGCCAGTTGGGTTCTCCAGAAGCCATATCACTGTAAGAAAGAAAACACTGTCAAGTTAGCTGAAGTTTTAAAGCATTTTCCGTCCCTAAGGGTTAATGAGTAGCGTAGTCATATGTTCTGAAATATTTGTAGTTGATTTTTACTTCCTTGTATTTCCGGCTTACAGTTTCAGCTGGACAGTCATGAGCAATATTCATGATTAGTTCCTCTAAGATGAGTTGCACACATACTGTCGGCTGTTCAGCCATGTATGCATGTTTTGATAACCTTGCTTTCTTTTCCCTTGGTAGAACGTCAGTTAAAAGCAAACAGAAGCATGCCAATAAGATCTACAAGGATAATTTTCAACTTGGGTTGTTAATATAATTGTGTGAGAGCAATGACATTGTTATATGAAATCAACCACTGTTACCCTATGAATCTATTGTGGAGTATCAGTGTAAGGTTTAATATACAAACATGGCATTTGGATGATGTTTGTACAGTAATGTGGCACTTACTGAACCGATAAACTAGAACATTCAAGCCTAAGTTAAAAGGTTTAGTCCACTGAAACCGGATATTGTGGTTGTTTAAATCCTAGAGATTTAAAGTGAAAATACATGAAAACACCTCAATACACAGATGAAATACATATATGAGAACCAGGGGTGTCCCTACCCTTTAGGCCACCTGAAATGGCCGGGGGGGGGGGTGCAAGGACCATGGCCTCTGCATCATCTTCCTGCCCAGGACAACAGCTAGAGCATCCCGTTCAGCTCCTTGCAACCAGTGATGACCCTGGCTGCCAGGAGCCGAACCAGATGCCGGCCAGAGTGTCACAGATTGCTAAGAGAAACCTGTCCAGAAAGGGGGTGGCATGTGATTCAAAGAGGCAGCCTCAGGTAAGTAATACAACCAGGTCTTGCCCCTGTCTGTGCCAGGAGAAGCAACAAACTCATACCTCCCAACTGTCCTTCATATGAAGGGATTGGCCCATGTTTGAAACCAAATTTGTCTCTCTTGCTGCCTAATGTCCCTCTTATTGCTTATGTTATTTTAAAAGGTCTGTATAAAAGAAAATAAGTGGTAAAAAAAAGTACTTGTGGGTTTAACCAGTCATTTTTTCCATATTAATTCTTTGCGATCCATATAGCTTGGGGTGTGGCAGGGTTGTTCCGTTTGCCCACATATTTTGTACTATAAGATGTCCCTCTTGCCAATGTCAGAAAATTGGGAGTTATGCGGACTAATGAGCTGATCTCTTTGTCACTCTTGGTTCTCCTCCTTTCAGCATGTTCCTTATTTAAACATGTAGCACAACTGACTAGCTCCTTTCCTGCCCTTCCCACTCCCGAGCTAACTTCTGCTAAATTAGGGAATTGCAAGAGGCAGACACCAAGTCAAATTCAGATACTTATACTGCCTGCATTTTAAAAAATACATTTCATGATGTATAAATGAATAGAGAGCTGCCTTATGTTGTGCCTTATAGAGCTGCCTGGAGGTCAGCGTTCAACCTTCTATTGGGTTCTTATATTGTATCTCCTGGGGACTCTGTGGGTGGTTTTCTGCACTTGAGTTTGCAGGACTACATACCTGTCTTAGTCAATATGAAAGTGTCTCTGTAAGATTTTAGATGTATATTACATCATGGAGAACATACAGTGCATGCAAGAGTCTGCCTGAAATTGTGGCTCTGTACAGTCTGCCAGTGAGCTCCTTCTCCTGTTTGCTCTACTTGGAGCTCTTTATTTTGAACTGTTATGATTTTTGGAATAAAAGCCATGCCTTTTACAACCCCCCCATTCAGCATTGTTAGTTCTGGTTACCCTCTGCTGATAAAGTTCAGACCGGAATTTACTGCTGCCATCCATGTCAGTCTGCTACCAATTCTGAGCAATAAGCACCTGAAACATCTACTGGTACACACCTATTTACAAAACAAATTCCAGGTCTAGCTTAGACTTGCTATACCAGTAAAGTTTTGGTCCCATGTCACCAATGGCATGTATGAAGATATCAAAGAGGAACCATGACTGTTATATCACTTGTAGCTTTGGCCCAGTACTTGTCTGACTAAAGGTCCCCACACACCTTACGATAATCGCGGGAAATCCCGCGATCGTACGATTATCGTAAGGTGTGTGGAAGCCGTGCGACCTCTACTACTGTAAGGTCGCACGACTTTAAACTTACGAACATGTTTGAAAACCCGCCGGAGCAGCGTACGATGTTCGGCGGGTGTGTAGCATGTTCGTAAGATAAAGCCGGACGGGCTGGTGTGCGCAAGCGCACACTGCCCGTTCGGCATTGCGGTCATCGGAAGCCCGCCCCTCAGGGGGCGTGGCTTGCGATCATCGCAAGTACGATCTGCCTATGCAAGATAGGCAGATCGTATGTTTTTTTAAGTACCTTACAACCATCGCAAGACACACACTTGCGATGGTTGTAAGGTGTGTGCCCAGCCTAAGGGTTGAAGCTGCTCGGACCTTTTATTGCTCTCTGTTTCCCCATTTGACAGATTTTAGTTCTGCCAACATATAAAAGTGGGAGGGAACCTCCTAAATGGAGGCACAGATGACATTTAAAACCTGAGAGAGGTTTTAGTCTTATATTTAAAATGAAATATATTGGCTTGATCTAGGATTTAATATATATTGTGGCTTTTCAATGTTAAGAAATGTTTGGGGAGCATTGTGCTATTTGGGTGTTTGTTAGACATTCAGTAACACAGGAAAACACTAGACTTTCCAATGTGTCCTTTCTCTTATCCATGAGATGTACCACATTAATGCACTTATTTCATCCACTCTTAGTAAAACAATCTAGTGGCCTAGCAAACTCATAATTATGTTCAATGATGAACTCTGCTTGAATGTCTTCCATGAATTTACTACAAGGCTGAATTATCCTTAAACATATTAATAGACCAGCAGTATGAAGAGAAGATTGTCATACAACAACATTCCTATTATCTGTTTTAAGCAGTTTCCTCTCCAATCATCTTTCATGGTCAACTTGAATGAAAGAGGTTATTGAACATACTAGAAGTAAACTAGCCAGAATGCAGTGAAACTCTTACTGCTGGAAATCTTATTCAAGTTCACAAAGTTCCTCCAGAATTATTAGGAAGAAGTGGGTCATTGTGGAGCTAGGAGCAATGCAACTGAATGGCCCATTTGAAAAGGAGCGCTGTTAAAGAGAACAATGCAGTGGCGTAACAATCGCCATAACGACCCAGGCAGCCGCTATGGGGCCCAGCCAGGATATCCCCCTGTTGCGGTGCGGGCCGCTTGGGTCACACTTTGGCATCTCAGGCTGTTGGTTGTCACTGGCGGGTGCGAGGAGGAACCTGGCGCTGTTAGATCACTGACAACCTGTCAGTGATCTGTGCAGCGGCACGTTCCTTCTCACAGCCGCTGCTGTGTCAGTGAGAGCCAGTAGCTGCGGAGGAGGATGCTGAGGCCGGCGTTGGCAGCGGAGGAGGCGGGGCCGGCGATGTAAGGAGGAGGGGATAGTGACGTAAGAGGAGGTGGGGCCCGGCGATGGAAGAGGAGACAGAGTCCGGTGATGGAAGAGGAGGAGGGGCCCGACAGCCACCATGCAGGAGGAGAAGGAGGCGGACTGCGGATCGGGACTGACAGGTAAGAGGTGTGCAGCGGTGTGACCAGCCCACCTGAGACCCTGCAGAGCCCACCATAGAGAGTCTATTGTGGGCTCTGCAGGATCACTCTCAGATGAGCTGTTTGGGATCTCAGGTGGGCTCTGCAAGGGGCTTTACTAGAAATCACAGGGCCCCACACAAAATTTTGCTATGGGGCCCTGTGATTTCTAGTTACGCCCCTGGAACAATGCAAAGTTAAATTGTTTCTTTAAAGTCCATCACTGACCCAATTATGTTCACCTTTACATCGCATCCCGCCGTTCTTTCCTCCGTCCCAGCCTATGCAAAGTACCCGGTGACGGCTGGTGTTGGAGCTTACAGGAAGTGGCCATGACCTCAGTTTCATCATTGGCTGCTAGGCCCGAGCCCTGCATCATGGTCGGAGGCACGTGCTCTCCCATATCCAAAAGGACCAGATATTGTGCAGCTTCTGTGACGGAAGAAGTAGCGGTGGGTGAGCATTGTGAAGGTGAGTATAAGTGAGTCAGGAACGGAATTTAATAATACTCTGTCATTTCTGTCCTGCATGGGCAGGGTGACAGGGCCTTTTTAATGCCTAGTGGGGTTCTTACTTTATTACTGATTTGTGAAATGTGGAGTACTGTACATGATGCTTTTTAGGTGGCACTTCAGGAGACGTTTTCAGGGGTGTACGCCCCTTCTTCTACGGCCTGGCTTTGTACACAGGGGCTCAGTCATTCTGGAACAGAAAAGGGCCTTCCCCAGACTATTCTTACACAGTTGGAAGCGCACATTATCTGAAATGTCTTTGTATGCTGTAGCATTACCAGTACGCTTTTACTGTTTAGGAAACACCTGAACCTCAATAATTAATTGGTCATATAATTTATATGGAAAGGAGCCTAGAACTCAATTTGCTGTCTGGAATTGAGAATACAAACTATTCATACGTAAAGGAAGAGAGAGGGTGGTAATAAGGGAAGAGAAACTTTTAAGCGACCAAAGAACTAAGACAATAAATTCCCTGGAGAACCTACTCTAAGCATTTACTGTACTGAAACTTTCATTTGTAATCATTGCTACTGGCGACCTTTTTTACGTTTGGGTCATTATTAATTACATAATCTACTTAACAAGTAAGATCATTGTTATGGAAATAGACCTTGCTTCTGGACTCCAAGGTAACATAAAAACCCTACTTCTATCCACCCATAACTGTTATATCTGTTATAAGTGGGCATGGTCATTCAAAGTGCAGGTAATAATATGCTTTTATTAACAGAGTAACATTTGTTGAGTTAAGTCGAGATAAGAAAGATAAGTTCTAGTTATCACAATATTTAGCTGAAAGTACATTTTTTGATGAGACGTTTAGATGTTTCTATGTCTGATATCTATTATTCCATTATTGTGTTAAATATAT